GCTTCATGGATAGTGGTGTCCATGCAGGAGCCTTTCATGGCAGAAAGGATGGCACCAAAGAAATGGGCCACCATAGGGCCCAAGTACAAATGGGACATGGATGACATCTGGACCAGTGCTGTGACTGGGTCAATGCCGAAGGCTGCACACAACAGCTGGGCATGCACCTCCCTGTTCATCGAGACTGGATGTCCCTGGGTCCCATGCCAAGCTGAGGGAGTGGCCTGGGCTCGAGAGAGACCATGCTAGCCAGCTGGGCTGACTGGGGAGAAGATGCTCCGTACCCCACCCTATAAGTATGGACCAGGCTTAGACCCTGGGTCCCCTCCAGCTCAGAGAGCCTCAGATTGGAGGCAGACAGGCTGCGCACCTCTGACCCCCATCAGCATCAAGAGAATAAAGCAAACTGCCATTTTTTTTGGTGGGGGGGCGCTGTACCTAGAGATTTGCAAATGACCACCTAACAGCTTGTGTGGGGTCAAGAAGACAAGGAACAAGATGACTGGCTGGTTCTAAGCCGGACCAGAGGGCACCGTGGAATGATGACCAGTGTCTACAGTCTCGGAACTGGCCAGCACACTCAGGAAGCAGCACATGGCCAATGCAGGGGGGTAGCCAACATGGCATTTCCTGCAGAAGAGAGACAGGCAGTCACAAAGTGAAAGATACCCCGCAAGATGAGCCATCAGCTTCCCTGAGGCTTTTTCCCTGTATTCTGTAGTTTTAGGGGTAGGAATTAAATAAGTCAAAATGAGAAAATTCCTGTTCTGCCGTGGACTCTAGGTCATGGGCAGAAACCACATAGGGGAAGACAAGATGACGACGGTAAAACACGGCAGCTCCCGCCAAGGGCTCCTCTAGCCACACAAGTGAGGAGCCTGCCCCTGCTTCACAGATGGACACACTCCAGTCCGGAAAAGGGGGCTTCTCTCTCAACACACTCAACACCATTACTCCGCATCCCTACCACTATTTTCTCTTCCTTTTGCATCTCCTCCCCCAGATGCTGTTCTCCCAAAGGGATGGAGGGGCAAGGACATGGTAAGTAATTACTAGGACATTCTAGAGAGGACTTTCCATTGAACTCTGAATTCAGAAGTGAGATCTCATGGAGATAGCGTGGTCCAGATATAGGACTGAACCCAAAAGATGACAAAGTTGTCAAGGATTTTCTTTTATAAATGAACCCCAAAACCAATAACAGAAGTGAGATCAAGGACAGATTCCTGTGTGTCCACGGGACCTAGAAGAGGCCCACTTGGGACTCTGCCAGAATTGGAAAGGGGACTAGGAGACTGCCAGCAGGCTGGAGTCTGGTCTTTAGAGTCTGAAATAAGTATTTGGTAGAAAGGTCAGTCACAATCTCAGGTGGACGCTGGTTTTTCTCTGTCGTTGGGTGAAATGTTACAGGGTGAGAGGCACACACACAATAGCCTCTGTCAAGAATAGAATCTAAACTTTGTATGGAAAAAACATACTGGATCCGGAGTCCCTCCAGAAATCCTGCTTCTTTCCTTCTGTTATTTGTCAGAATTACTGAACATCAGGAAGCCGACTTCCTGTTTCTCCCTCCATCATCCCCTGCAACCTGGCTCCTGCCATCCTCACTTTAAGAAAATTGATCTTCCCAAGGTCACCGATGAAGTTTTTATTGCTAAAGCCAGCATCCTTTTCACTGAGATCTCACTGATGCACTTAATGCCACTGGACACTGCCTGCCGGTTTCTCCTGGAAACACGCTAACTTGGTTTCCATGACACTGTACGCATTACCCTTTCCCTCTGCCAAACATCGCCGTCTCCCTCTTTCCTCGCCTCCAACCCCATGAATGCAGATACTCCCTCAAGTCAGTGCTTGGCCCCCTGACATTTTGTCTTCTCTTTTCCACTGAAGGAGATAATCCATTTGTTTCCATTTTTTATATGCTGATTCCTCCGCAACTTGTATTTTAATCCCAAGTGGCACACATTACAAATTCTCCACTGGCCTTTTCTAGGTGTAAATCATACTACCATTTCAAATTCAGCATCTGAGTAACCTGACTTCCCTCCACCTCCTCCAAAGGAGCTTCTTCCTCTCAGCACTGCACCACTAGCACCATATTTTTCCAAAACATATGCAATCATAAATTTAGACAAAAACCTGATTCCATATTCCATACACTGTTAAAAATCTCATCTCTGGGGTGCCTGGCTGGCTCACTCAGTGGAGCGTATGACTAGATCTTGCGGTTGTGACTTTGAGCCCCATGTTGGGTGTAGAGATTCCTTAAAAATGGAATCTTAAGATCCTGCCATCAGTCAAAGATTTTGTGCCTTTGATTTTACATAACCAAATATGAGGGCAATGCTCAGTTACTCTTGATGTCTCTGTGGTCTTTCCATTGCTTACAAATAAATGCTTTTAGGTTTCCTCACAGCTAACAGAACACATGGCAAATAACCCTTTATTAGTACCAAAATGCTGGTCTAGCTCATGTTCTCCTTCTGGCTCTCCCTGTCCAGTCTTTCCCAATGATTACTGTGACTTTAGGTGTTCTGTAAACACTCAAGGCCTTGGAAGGGGTCAAATATTCTTTAGGCCCTCAGGTAATGTTCTGTCCTCATACCTCTGACTTTCTCCAGCTCTGAGGTTCATTCTACACCCTTTTCTGGCACTGCCCTCTTCCCCCCCATACTTCCTGAAGGCAAACTTTATTGCCTGCCAACTGATGGAACCGGGACAGGTCTACTCAAGGCACACTGGTGGCCCTGCTCCTACTCCACACCCTCAACCCTTCAAGAACCACCCAGACAGGAACCACCACCTCTCCCTTGAACTTCCACTGGCAGGGAGGCACCCAGGAGCCTCTCAGCCACCACAGGTATCATTCACTCGGAGAACTCCACCCGGTTCTGAAGACTCCAGATTCATTTTCCTGACATCAGCGCCTTCCTTTCTGCAACAGGAAGGATCCGGTTTCCAAATTGAGGACTCCTAAAGCTCAGGCTGTTCTCTGCCAAGAGCTAAGAAACATATTCCAGAGAAGGAAACTAAAAAGGAGAAGCCCCCCACCCCCACTGCCTTTTCCCATTTACTATGAGATGTACTTCCCAGCTGGTCTTGCCACTCAATGTCGAAACACAGTTTTCAAGTCCAGCTGTAACCCTGGAACGTGTCCCTAACAGCAGCATCAACTTGTACCTCTGACCTCCAGGACCGCCTCCCCTCCGGCAGGCCAGACACAACCTCATCTTCCATTAGAGAAGATTAACAGAATAATTTATGATGGAAACCAGAAGCAGCTGGTGAGCCCTATATTCTCTTAACTTTCATAGCACCCTTTAATTACCATCTGGGAAAGGAAAGCACACAGAATCTGGGTTTCTGAGGGAGGTTATCCCCCCACTCCTACTTCTGGCATGACCTGCTCCTATCACTCTCCTGGATTCTACTTTTTATTGCTGTTTTATGTAAAAAGCGCTCACCCTGTTTGAATCCTTTGATTCCACAAATATACCCTAGGCTCTTCTCATATGTAAGAACAATTAAATAAAATGGGTCACCTTAAAATGAAGAAGCTCTAATGCTCAGCTTCAATCAAGAAAGGATAAGAGATAAATACACTAGTTATCTGTAATAGGAGACAGACAATGGTAATGTCCATAAAAGAATTCGAAGTAATACCCCAGACACCGTGCTGTGCACTTTGTGCACATTACAGCAGCTCATTTAGCCTCACAAAAACAGAGCCGGAGAGTTGTTTCTTGGTTTTTCAGAAAAGGAAACCACGGTTTACAGAGGTTTAGTGATTCACAATAGTCAACCGTTACTGTATTCTACTCAAGTCTTTGATCTTAACCTTACGGAGAATTAAAGGTGAAAATCAGGTCTAGTTGAGACAGCAGGACAGTCTTTTGAGATTGTGAAGAATCGTAGGAAACAAATGGGTAAGACAGAATGGAGACAACTACAAGTAATGAAATCAGGAGAGCCAAGCACGTGTGAGGAATAGCAAGGAGGGAAGCAACCGGAGTAAAGGGTAGGATTTGGTTGCAAGGTTGCAGCAGAGTGTCAATTGCACTGGCTCCCAAGCTGAAGGACCTCTAATTCAGATGGCAGAGGGGCAGAGGGAGAAGCAGACTCGCTCTGAGCAGGGATCCTGACGTGGGGCTCGATGCCAGGACCCTGGGATCATGACCTGAGTCAAAGGCAGATCCTGAACCTACTGAGCCACCCAGGCGCCCCTGCATCTTTAGTAATAGAGGGAACAGAAACAGAGGTCACTGTGGTTGTGCCAGGGCAGGTCACCAATGAATCCCCAGCACCCAGGGTCATGCTTGGAAATTAATGAATGAATGCAAGTCACGTATGAATCAGGCTAGCACCAAAAATTAACATAAATATACTCTCAATGCTAGGAACTCGAAGAAAACAGAGTGCTAGGTGAACATATCTGCAGACAGTGGATAGGTTACCAGGAAAATAAGTCCTAATGAGAAATGGGAAAATCCAGCATAAGGAAACCCCACAATACTCAGAAGAGCTGTGTAATAGCTGCAAATATAAGCTTCAGGGAGACAGAAAGTGCACCCTAATTCTCTTGTCCCTTACCAATGGCATAGACCTACTGCTCAATACTGTATTAATCAAAGGTAAAGAGATTGTCCAGGATCTGCAGAAAGCAGAATCCCAGGATGTCCTACACACAGAAGTCTGGTCCATGGAGAGGGGGAGGCCTTGCACGCACAACCCACAGAAGCCCCTACCATCAAGAGGGTGAGGGCCCCACCTCCACGGGCCAACCAGACCCCTCCCCACCAGCTCCACCTCCACTCTCCCAGCCCAGAACCAGGTCACAGGGATGACACCCTAGCAGTCCCTTGTAGCTAATAAATAACCCCCAGTAGTTTCCCAGCCAGGCACCGCCCTCCTTCCATCAGCAGCTCTGACCCTTGGCACATCCCTGGTGCTCTCCATCCCCCATCCTCCCCCACAGCTGCATATAAACCCCGGGGAGCCTGAGGTCTAAGAGTGTGAGTCTCGGAAGCTGGGGGACAAGCACAGTACTCTCTGTACCCTCACCCTGGTCACTCCGCTGCTAGCACAGCCCCAGGCTAAGAGCATGGACAAGCTGCTGCTTTGGGTCTTTGCCCTTGCCACTCTCCCAGGAGCCTTTGCTCAGACAGGTAGGGTGGTCACGGGATGGTCAGGGAGCATGAGATGAGAAAAGGGGTTGGGTAAGTTATTTTTCTCCCTGCATGAGTGAGAGGTCTTATTTCTCTACCCCACAGACCTCAGCGGGAAGGTGCTTGTGTTCCCTCAAGAATCTTCTACTGACCACGTGACCTTGACTCCAAAGCTGGAGAAGCCTCTGCAGAGTTTTACCTTGTGCTTCCGAGCCTACAGCGACCTGACGCGTGCCCACAGCCTCTTCTCCTACAATGCCCAGGGCAAGGACAATGAGATCCTGGTCTATAAGGAAAGAGTTGGGGAGTACTCGCTGTACATTGGAGGAACCAAAGTCACCTCCAAAGTTGCCGAACAGTTCCCCAGCCCCACGCACATCTGTGTCACCTGGGAGTCTTCTACCGGCATTGCCGAGTTTTGGATCAATGGGAAGCCACTGGTGAAGAAGGGCCTGAAGAAGGGCTACTCAGTGGCAACCCAGCCCAAGATCATCCTGGGGCAGGAGCAGGATTCCTATGGAGGGGGGTTTGACAAGAACCAGTCCTTTGTAGGGGAGATTGGGGACTTGTACATGTGGGACTCTGTGCTGTCTGCACAACAGATCGTGTCTGTGCAGCAAGGCTCCTACCTCCTTGATCCCAACGTCCTGGACTGGAGTGCTCTGGACTATGAGATGCAAGGCTATGTCGTCATCAAGCCCCTGGTCTGGGACTGAGGGCTTGAATCAACAGGATCCCTCAAAAATGAAATGACCAATGAGTAAGGAATCTGCTCAAGACAATGCCATGTGAGATCCCATATCCAGAGCGCTTTCTTCTTTGAATTTCCTGTCTACATGTTGCCGAGTAAAAAAGTATGTTGTATCATGCCACCTGCATTTGTTTAGTATTTGTTACGGTCTAAGCATTTTCGCTTTGATCCACTTATTTGAAAAATCAGCATTTGTTTTTTATCATCCAGAACAATCAGGTTGCAAAGTGGTAGGGCAGGGGACCCCATAACTAGGAAGATACATCACAAAGCCAGAGCACTCCCTGAGTAGGGCAGTGGCAATACTGACAAGCTACTAATCATTTATACTAATTCCAAAAGTGTGCAAAATTTCAAAAGGATCCTATTTGGTTTTCCAGCTAAAAATCAAAAAGAGGTCTAAGGTTACAGCAGAGAAACAACTATAATGAGAAAAGTAAAAATAATGTAGAAACTGACATCAAGTAATGAGGAAAACTAGCAGCAGGAGTGGAAACTAAAAATGTGTAGAAGTCTGGAGTCCTCATGCAAGATGGCAAACATGCCTTTTTTCTAAAAATTCCCAGTGGTATCATATGATGCTTGATTTTCAGGATCCTGTCCTGAAGTCATCAGGAATACTGCTCATGACTCCCAGTTCAAAATCCTATGGATCCCCATCTCAGAGAATGTAATTTAAACCCTTAATGTGACACTGTCCTCCATAACCTGATCCCCACTTACCTCCTTCAGGTGGAACTCCTCACACCCAGTATCCTCATTGTAGTACTACAAAATATTTGTCCGTTTTTATCAGTAGTTACTTTCATCACAAAAGCCACAAGCCACAGCTCCTCGCCCATCCCCAACAGAAAGAGGGTGCCTTCTTAGAGAAGGACCCCCCAAAGAGAATTTGGCAGCATATGGAAAATAAAGCAGGCTTTGCCCAGTAATGGGGCGTGAAGCCAAGGGAAATCAGAAAGACCACATCCAGGAGAGCTTCGAAATGATAACAGAAGGGATTACTTCAAACTCCCGCATTCATTCACCAGGGATCGACCAAGAGGCAGACACCAGCTACAAGGAAGTAGGCTAGAACCCCAGAACTCCATTACCAGAGCAACAGGGTCAGGCAGGGAGGAGCAGGGAGAACCCGAGATTTGCCAGCGTGCTTAAATGGATTCACAAGGACTTCCTAAGAACATTTCCATCTCTCTGGTGAGGCGCAAACCATTCAGATCATCAAGTTGGCTAGCCAGGGACTTTAAAAATGTAGAAAATTCGTTTCCATTCACCAGCTCAGGACTCAGAGTGGCTTGCTTTATAGTTTAACATCAACCACCTTTTCTGTACTGTGAGCACCGTACTTGTACTGTGTGTGCCAGGAAAGACCAGCTCTTCCCATGGAGGACAGGTTTTGCCCAGGAGCACGTAGACATATTTGCCCGGACTCTGTGCTGGGGCTCAACTGAGGTTCACTGCTTTAGCTGAACAGCCCCCTCGGTCAAGGAACCTAAAACAAGTTTTAAGAAACGCAGCCAATGTATACTCAAATGGCATCATCCATTTATTTTTTTTTTTTTTACTGAACACCTACTCTGTGCCAGACACTATACCAGATGAAAATACAGCACTGAGGGGATCATGGTACTGGTTTTGGAGTTTATATTCTACTCGGCCTGCGTTAGAACCCACACCTCACCATCTTTAGGCTTTCCTCGATCTCAGGGTGATATTCTACTCCCTGCCTCAACTCAGTTAGATGGATTATTTACCCTCAGTGATCATTTGCCACTTCTTCCATGTGTCTTAGAATCTAATATCTGTCTGGTCTCTTGCCTTTAGGGACCCTCTACCTCCTGAGACGGCTCTTATAGACAGAGCACAGTATAACTATATGCCAGTCCTTCCTTCTAGGGGACCCACACTCCATCCAAAAGAAACACTCCTGCGTCCCTTGTCCCCATAAACTCTAGGGGTCCAGGCTGAATGTAACGTGGAGGACGCTTTTCTGCTTCTACGACGGATTTAGCTTTCCACTCAGCAACCACCCTGTCGAGGCACCAGGAACAGGACCCGCAACTCTCTCAAAGCAATAGCGCTAGAGCCGCAAGTCTCCCCAGAGCAGTTCCTCCCTATCCCCCCATTCACCCCCTCCGCACCCCTAGTTCTGGCCAAAGGATGAGAGTCCTTGAACTTGTCCACCATTTCCTCTGAAAATTGCTATAAGTGGATCCGTGTCATGTTTTTTATTAACTAATACCTATCACATCGATGGTTCCTTCCAAACTAAAGAAGAGTTCCATTTTAACCTCATTTAAAATAGAGACAGGATTTCTAGCTTCTTGCTTCAGGCATTTTTCTCAGGTATAACGGTTGTCACAACAAGGAAAATAGCAGAACTCACAGAAAACCACTTCAGTCCTTGAGACTCCAGAAGGGAAATGGAAGGACCTGCAAGGCAGGGTGACCCAGGAACTTGACTGGAGAGTGATTCCATGTCAAAAACCGTGGTAGTGGCCCCCTTTCCCCACACTGACCACGAAGGCTGGGAGATCGTGGGAAGGAGCAGTGCACAGGTGTGCAAGGAGTGCTGAACCCTGCAGACCGCGCTCATGAGAAAAGCAATTTTTGAGCCTTTATCTTGTACAGGGATGAATCTAGTTCTTATTTGTGAAGCTACAGAAAAAACCAGGTCAGAGCACTTAGCCTCATGGCTCCAGGACTGGCTTTTACCAGAGAAGTCTATAAAGGATTTTTCCTTGATAAGAGGGCTTGCAGTTTTGTTTTATAGGGGGAAACTCTGGAGGGGTCAGAGGTTAAAGCAAACAGGTCTCCTTGAGTTTGGGATATGCCTTTATGCAGACTTGAGTTGGGGTGAGGATGAAAAAGAATTTCTCTAGAGCTAATCTACAACCTACTAAGGCTGAACTCTGAAAGACACCAAGACTGTTACTTGCTTTAGCAAAAAAACCCCAGCAATTTGTTTACTTGGCATTGCAGTGATCTTCTGCAAATAAATCATGATTGCCTGGTATGCTCCGAAACCGTGAAAGAACACAAGCAGATCCCACAAACTCAAGTTGGGTGGACTCTCAGGAGAAGACTTCCCTCCCAAAGAAAAGTCACCAGTCTTATTTAATTCAAATAGTTCCATGTAATCCTCAGTTTCTTAACTCCTCCCTTGCTGGCTCCCTAGATCTATTTGGTTTAAAATGAAAGGAAAAGTAAAGGACAGGGCAAAAATTCGAGGGGGTTGGGGGAGAGACAAGAAAACCAACACACACACACACACAACATGGTTTTTTTTTTTTTTTTTAACTCACAATTCCTTCACACACAAAATGTCATTACAGGGGCTCAGCCTACCTGGCATTTTTTAGGTTTTTTTTTTTAAAAAACAGGTTCTGTTTCTAGGCACATATTTTGGTTATAAAGATTTAGGCATTTATAAATACCTATGGCTTTTGTCAAAATTTCTTCCCTTTGCAAATGGTGTTTCCTTTACACCCTCCGTGTGTTTTCCCCTCTATTTGTCTTTTTCTTCTAGTAGAAATATTGGCTTCATGACTAAAATTTTGATGCATGAGCACATTTCCGTATTTTTCTTTCCCCCACATGGTTTCTATCCTTCTGGAATGTACAAATCATCTTGAAAGCTCTCTGCGCTATACCCTGCTTTCAAGATTATCTACCGGTGTGTCCCTCACACAAACACCCTTAGGGTGCGGCCACAGGAGGGCTCAGATTTGGGTGGGGGAAGGGCTGCTTCTACATGCCCAGCTGCTGTCACTTCTGGCCGGGTAGGCTCAAAAAGTCAACCCCCCGCCCATGTCAAAATCCTCCTGAAGTTCACAGACCCACGTTGTAACTGTTGAGCATTCATCCCAGGCAATCTGCAGTAGCCGACTGAGGAGGATGAAGAGTGTGATTTACTTCCATACCCCCAACTTCCCATCTTGTCCTCTGGGGCCACCCTCACCTCCAGAGATAGCAACAGCCCTGCAATTTGTCATCTGAGCCATGTGGTCCTCTCAGGAATCCTTCTGGAATGCTTCTGCACTTCAAAGAGAGGTGGAGAAAGGAGCTAAGTAGGTGATTGCCCTTAATCTGCATACAATGCTCAAACATCACTGGAAACATAACAAGATGCACTGAAATAGAACTTGTAAAATGGGATGTGTTTGGAAAGAATGCTAGGAAAAGTCAGGGTGAGCAGATGACACCTACTGTTGGAAGTATAGCTGGCCAGTGGGGAGGACAGGATGTGCGGAGGGCGAATCCCACTGAGCACAGCGCCCCCGCCACCCACCAAGCAACTGGAGCAGAAGCGGTAGCTCCTCCTAGTGGCAGTGCTTCACCCCTCCCCCCCACAGCCTGCACACCTTTCCCTTAAGCAGATACTAACATGGAAAGAACACTGCTTTGAGCACTTCATTGTTCCGCGCTCCCACAGGTCTTCATCTGCATGGGAACATGTGCATTCATTTCCAAGTTTTAGGAAGGTCTTAGGATGGACTTTCATGGTCTGTTCAGTTCAATCCAGTTGTGCACCATAGGCAATAAAGTTACTTTTCCCCAGGAGTCAGCCATCCTGTCTCTACCTTTATAATCTCCTCAAAGAAAGTAAATTCGTATTTACCTGAGGCATACTTAACAAATCTGGCCAGTTTGGGGTGAAAGCAACACTACTTTTCAGACCATAATTTAAGGATACCAGGGATTTTTTTCTTCCTCCTCCTGACAATTCAGTTGAGTACCTTCTCGTCCCTACAACAAAATGCATGCTGCTTCCCTGACTCAGTATCTCCTTCACCACTTACTGTCACTCATTGCAACAGGCTCATTGAGAAACCAAAAAGGCAGATGCGATCTGTGATTCTCATCCATGGGTTACCGAAGTTCTTTGTTCACCCCCTGTAACCAGGCTTCCCAGCCCCAGATGCTACTGAAACTGACCAGTCATCAACCACCTCCTTGCTCAATCAAATGTCTCTTCTCAGTTCTCCTCCTTGACTTCTCTTAACTCTTTAGGAGCCATACTTTTATGCTCTGCAGCAGCATGCTGGCTCGTTCAGTTCAATCCTCACTGTAAGTACATGTAAAAAGTCGGTCAAGTTTCCTATAACCTCACTCCCT